GTTTAAGGTTGAAGGTTTAGGGTTGAGGGGTTTAGGGGTTAGGGGTTTAGGGTTGAGGGGTTTAGGGTTAAGGGTACTCCCGGCAAGCCCCGTGAAACATGAGCCCGTGTCCTTTGAGGTGCACTGGAGAGCATGGGGTGAATCCAAATCTAGAGCCCCTTCCTCAAAGTTGTCAGAGCTGCTGTGGTGTTCTTGGCTGCTGTAAGTTTAGGGCGAAGTTTAAGGCTTAGGGTTTAGGGTAGCTGTAGTGTGGCCAGATCCTGAATCAAGGCTTAAATGGAGCTTCAGGCTTCGGGGCTGTACATGAAGGTATAGGTGGCGGGCTAGGGTTGTTCGATGCACTGGCAAGAAGCATGTAGATGTTGCACACTACCTCGTTTTCTAGTGCTGTAGATGCGCTTTTGGTTGTGCTGATATCGGCAACACCTCAACCCTAAACATAATTTCTAAACCCTACTACACCCTAAACCAGAATACCTTCTTTTTCTGATACACATGGTCATAGTCTCTACTAGGCGAGATCCTCTCGGCACAAACCACCGAGAGGCTCGACTCGGGAGCCGAAAGCGTGCGAGGAATGTCCATGAGCCGCTTGGGGTTTAGGGTTTAGGGTTTTAGGGCTAGGGTTTAGGGTTTAGGGCTTAGTTTTCTTGTTGTCTCTTCGTTGTTTAGATGTTGTCGGGGGCGGCGACTGAGCAGAATCATTTGTGAGACCTCGATTAGTGGCACCAAACGCGGTTCGCTACAGTACCCAAAGACAAGCACGCAAACGGCAGTGTAATTCGACGTCCTGCGGTTTTAGAACGGGTCTCCGGGCCAGAAGAACATCGCTGACATGCATGAGCCCTGCATCCCGGGCCGTACATCCTAAAGCAGAATTAAATCACCAGGAATGGCAAAGCAAACGTCGAAAACTCTACCCCCTTTCCGGGCGGACGGCTGTCGTCACTCTTGCCGGAATCATGACCCTCAGCGATATCTCCTTTTCCGGCTGCTCGCGCTGAACTTTTTTGAGACCCTCAGATTGGAAGCAGGAAAGTTCATGAGACTCTCATCCTAAGCTCTGAAATACCATCCTAAACCCTAAACCCTAAACCCATAGTACCCTTAGAGGAACCCGAAACCCGAAACCCTAAACCCATAGTACCCTTAAAGGAACTCGAAACCCGAACCCTAATCACAAGCCCATCTTGAAACCTTTTTTGTAGTAGAACCCTTATAAAGTTAAGGGTTTACGAGTCTCGGGTTGTCTGAGGCGGCGGCGGTTCAGCGGGCGTCTTCATCTAAATAGCAGAAAGTGTATCAGACTGTAAGCCCCAAACCCTAAACCGCAGAAGTGTATAAGTGCTACACTCATATCCCAACTCCAAACTTAAAAGACCCTATACATGCTATCTGTTCTTCGCCGCTTTTTACTTTTAGGATTCAGCCCTCAAGGGGCTTCTGAGCTATGCCTTCAGATGCACTCGTAGCTTACTAAGTCGGGACCTGAGTACTCAGAGGTCCACAGGAGATTAGCAGGTTGGGTACCACCCGGCGTACTTCTCCGGGTGGAACCCGTTCACTGCAGTTCTTCCATGAGCTCCTCTGGCGTGGTGTCTGGCCATTTCTCGAAGCGCTCTCTCAGTATCTTCCTGATGAGCAAAGGTGCTTGCAAACAGCACCGTGAAATCGTGACCCTACTTCTTTGTCGTTCTTTGCCTTATGCCGGTCCTCAAGCCCCAAGAACGAATGCCTTCGAAGGCAGAAACCCATCTCTGAATGATGGCCAGGTCTCAATAGGTCTTTGTACAGCTCCCCGACCTTGTCATCGGAACGAGGTCCACGCGCAGCGAGGGGCTGCTTCAGGAGTTCGCTCATTTGATGCACCTGATGCCCCAGGCCCGCCCTCCGAGCAGAGACATATCCCATGTAAGACAGAAGCCTCCTTTATATGTAGTTGCGGGAGCTGCTTGTCTTTGTAGGTCAAGCTTTCGGAATCATCCCTGGACTAGTTTCAGCGACGCTGCAATTCCAAGTTAAACACCTCAGTTTCTGTTGCGGCACGAACATAGGCACTTGTTCTGATTCTCTTCAAATGAACTAGGCACTCCATAGAATGCACCTGGCACACCCTTCTTACTGCGACGCTCACAACTTGAACTCTCACACCCCCAAAGCAACCAACAAGGCCAAAAAACTCCTGGAATTCTGGGCACCGGTGGTGTGTTGAAGGCTTTGGGTTTAGGGATCTTTCTGGCTCAGGATTCGGGGCCAGGGGTGTGGGTTTCGGGCTTACTGTTTGGAAGCTCAGACCTTCAGGGCTTGGATCATGGGCACGAGATGCTTTCGCTCTCTACAAGATCAACAAAGGCTTTGAACCCCGAGCCCGACAGGCAAGTGCTCCGGATCGGCCCAGGGGCGATCTCTGCAAGAGCCCCAGAGCTCCCCCACCTAGGTTCAAAGTTTGGGGCTTGAAATACGCCTTTTTGTTGGAGCGCCAGGGCCTTCCCTTCTGGTGTTCAGTTTATTACTCGCATTAAGTCCAACTCGTTGCATTGGTTTGCTTTTTGATGCTTAGGGTTTATGTTTGTCTGTAGTCCTTAGCGTTTCAATGGTATATAGGTATATAGGTCGGGGCCTACAGGTCCTGACAGGAAGCGCTGTGCACAGCCCTATTCCTGATCGTCCCACGCTGCTGTCGTGAAAGCACATTCGCTTTTGTCCCCACAGTCACCCGACACCAAAATGCCCAATGGACAGAGCAACAGTTTTCGAGTCAGAATCCTTAGCTCAAACCAGATCTGCTAATACTTGTTGGGCAGAAAAACTATGCAATGTTTGCAGGAACACTGAACACCAGACCACAGCCCACAGTCATCTACCCCCGAAGCCCAAAAGATAACAGAAGCCCTGAAGCCCCGAACCGTCGATTGGAGTTCTGAGCTAGGTCGTGCTACTTGCCAGTAGCTGGGATCTTATGTATATAGGCCTAAACCCTAAACCCTAAAACCCTAAATCCCAAAAACCCTAAAACCCAAAACCCTAAAACCCAAAACCCTAAAACCCTAAACCCTAAAACCCAAAACCCTAAAACAGTATACCCTAAACCCTAAACCCCTAAACACCCTACTAAAGAATCCATGTGGGGACAGAGTAAGTTGGTTGCCAACAGCCACGGGCCCTCAGAGTAGCTGGAAAGACACATCCAAAAGCAAAAAAGGCTCCCGCTGTCATGAAGGTTTAGGGTTTGGGGTTTGTAGGGTTTAGGGTTTAGGGCTTATAGGGTTTAGGGTTTGGGGTTTGTAGGGCTTAGGGTTTAGGGCTTATAGGGTTTAGGGCTTAGGGTTTATAGGGTATAGGGCATAGGGTTTAGGGTTTAGGGTTTAAGACTGGCCACGTTTTGTCCGGTGCCGTTGGTAGAGGCCGCATATCAAGATTCTCCTGGACGAAAACTATCAGCTCCCGCTTCAGTCGATGAGGGGGCCAAGAGTTCATTTCCAGGGCCCAGTCCATGGTCTCGTTTCGCACTCTTGCTCGGACTTCGACTTGGAGGCAAAGGCTGGCATCTGCGTCGGGCGGGGGCCGCACGGAGTCCACAAGGCGGATTTGGCTGGTCTCGAAGCCCAGGCGCTGAGCAACCAGCTCCTGGATTCGGAGGGCCTCCATGTCTTGCGGGAGCTCAAGATGCAACTTCTGCCCGTCTGGAAGATCGATGAAGACGTCTCGGAGCTCGCAGTCGCGCTCGACGTCCGCATGAAGGCCGTCATGGACACCTGACATCTGCAGCACTACGGAGAAAGCTGAAGATGAGGGAATTCGTTATACTAGTTTGTGTAAGGAACCAGGACCCACAAAAGCAAAAACCAAAAAAAGAAAAAAGCACTCCAGAACCCAGTCACTGTCCAACAGCATCTTCTGCGTATACTCATCCAGATTCAGTGCACGCAACACGCCTTCAAGCTTCAGTTTCTTAAAGCATAGACAGCATCTGCCATCCACCTGCGCCCAAGTGAAGAATTCAACGGTTGAGGGACTGAGGGTCAAGCTCCGGAGTGCATAACGAGCTCACAATGCAACAGGCTGTAGCAGAAACAGGCCAACATGTAAAGAATAATGTAGGGGCCTTAATAATTAGAACAGGGTTTTGGGGGGTTCCTTATTGTAATTATAGTATGATATACCCCCAAACCCTATTCTAATGATTAGGGCTCCTATATTACACGGCGATAACTGGTACAGTAGCTGACAGCAGTAAAGCCGTCGATGCGCATTCCTCGTCCTCGCAGTGGTAGATAAAGTCGGTGATAGCGGCAGGGGCAGTTGTACGAACAATAGTGGAATGGTCAGAGTAGCGGTGACAGGAGCATTAGCAGCAAGAGTTTCGCAGGAGCCGGAGCGGCTAGTAGTAGCCAAAGTAAAAGCAAGCGCAGCAGATGTTGCGGCAGCCATAACCGCAGCAGCAGCAACAGCAGCAGCACCAGCAGCAGCATTGGTAGTAGCCGTCGTCGTCGTCGTCGTCGTAGTCGCATCGTCGTCGGCGCCGTTGTCGTCGGTGGCGGCATCGGTGCCGTTGTAGCGGTAGTTATGTTAGGAGTAGTCGTCGTCGTGGTGGTTGTTGCAGCGGCGGCGGCGGTGGTGGCGGTGGCGGTGGTGGTAGCGGAAGTAGCAGTTTGGTCACGGCCGCAGTCTTTGCACAGAACCTGGTGGCGACAATGAAACCAATGGTACAACCACAACAACAACAACAGCAGCAGCCAAAACAACCACTGTCAATCAATTGTCCAATCTAAGTATGCTAGACGTAATACTGGCGAAAACTGTGCAGTTCTCATTGGTTACTCGAGATGGCAACTCGCTAAGAGCACACAGGGATGATGGTGACGAGGATGATGACCATGATGATGATTGTGATGATGATGATGATGGTGGTGGTGATGATGATGGTGGTGATGATGATGATAATGGTGGTGATGCTGATGGCGATGGTGGTGATGGTGATGGTGATGGTGAAGGTGATGGTGACGACGACGACGATGATGATGAGTGATGGTAGTGGTGCTGATGGTGATGGTGGTAATGATAGTGATGATGACGCTTTAGATCAGGAGAAATTTCCCGTCGCGGTGCCGTGGTGCCTCCTGCCGGCGAACGAGGTCGTCGATCAGCTGCACAATCCTCGTAAAGCCCTCCTGTTCCCCAAGCATCTGCTCCGTGTTGTATTGCAGCTGTGCGATGTGACGAATCTCTCCTGCCGATACTTACAGCATGGTTAAGGTCAGCGCCTACCTTGACCCACAACCCGAACTCCTTCCTCCGTGGTGCTCAAAACGAGAGAGGACAGGAGAAGAGAAGTGTACCGGGGACCTAGATACATTGCACTTCGGTGAGGTACGCTTCAGAGCGGAGCTCGGCCGGAACCTACTTTTCAGGACCCCATGTCCTTGCAACTGGCGGTTATCATCGTGCTCCCAGTACTCCCGGGCCAGAATTTCCCGCCACTGCCCTGCCATGGCACGCGGCGAAGAGCTGAAGGAAAGTGCTGACTCAATTCAATCCCAAGCAACCTGGATCCCCTCAGCCCCTTTCTCCTAAATTCTTAAATCCGACAACCCTTTAACATCTGTATCATATCTATATCCATTATATCTACATCACATATCTCATACCTGTAGTATTTATCCCAAGCCCGACCCCTGCCCTGGCTGGCATTGTCGACACGCTTGGGCCGAGGTCAAGTCTGCTTCGGGATTCGGGTGCGCGGATACAGGGTCTGCTTTCATGTGACATGCTTGAGGCTTTAGGGTTTAGGGATGTTCACGGCTTAGGGTTTTAGGGTTTAGGGTTTAGATAGGGTTTAGGGATGTTCAGGGTTTAGGGTTGTCGCGGTCTGACCTTTAGTGATTTCGGGGCACGCGCAGCAGGAAAACTCCTTGAGGAGGATGTATGCACAGACTGCTGGAAGAAAAGCAACCAAAGCGCGTCGACTTCCTCAGGCCTACCCCCCCTGTGCGGTGCAGAGCCCTCAACCCGAACCCCCAGGTTCCAAATCCGGAAACTCAAGCCCTTGTCCACAAAAATCCTATACACGGAGCCCTAAACCCTAAACCCTAAACCCTAAAACCTAAACCCGAAAGCCCAACCCCAGCAAAGCCCGAAGCCCAAAGCCATAAGAATCTAAGTAAAGCACAAGTCCTACGCACAAAAATGCTAAAACCCAAGGCCTCGAGAAGGCCGGGGCTCCCCTCCCAGGGTTTATATGGTTTAGGGCTTAGGGGTTTAGGCTAGGATGTAAGGTTTAGGGTTTCGGGTTTAGGGCTTTAGGGTTTTAAGGTTTAGGGTTTAGGGTTTAGGGGTTCAGGATGTATAAGGCTTAGGGTTTAGGGTTTAGGATTTTTAGGGGCATTGGGTTCAGGGCTCAAGGATTAGATGATTAGACCGGATTGGGAGCACAGAAATCTTGAAGGTGATGGGCCTTCGGCTTTAAGGTGTCCTCACTGGCTCATAAGGTCGTCGCGGGTTCCCCAAGGTCCATTCTCTTAAGATTCTTTATACCAAAGCTGCTTTGCACGTTTCTGTCGCGTTGGTAGAACGGATGTGACGAATGGATTCCTGAGCAAGAGGTCATTGCCTCGAGCTGCAGTTTGAGGCCATGCAGTTTCAAGTCAAGTGATCTGCTCTCCTCTTCACCGCTGCATGCTGACCCGGTGGAGGCGAGGCAACACTCGCATGCGAATGGAGATCTCAGCTGAAAGCTTCTTGCGCCACAGGTTGACTTCCCGTGCATTCTCCTCCTTACGCTGAGGCAGCGTAAAGAAACCCCCATCCATTGTGATTGCCATCACACAATTGATACTCGCTTCCTTGCTTCAGAACATGAATGTTACCAGACATTTTCTACTCTGAGAATTTCACACAACACACCAGCTTCTCACCTCAAGGATAGGCTTCCTCTTAAACCCACTAGCGGCTGTTTCGCCTATCATCCCTCTCATTCCCAAATGCGAGAGCTTCAGGGATCGGCTGCAAAGATTCTTACCGCTTCTGTTTGTTTAGCCCTCGGCTTCATGTAGATCCCAAATCCTTACCCCTTCCCTCAACTCAACCAGGACCAACATACAGGGATTGTAAGACCGTAAGAATTTCGGTGTACAACTTTGGGTTCGGGGGTTAAGAGTGGAGGCATAAGCCCTATGGACGTCGCCACACATCCGTGCCGCATGCAGAGGAACCAGAGCTGCTACGCCGCTTCGCAGTCAAATGCCAGCCGTTGGTGCTAACTCTGACTCGAAAACCTAGAATTTGAAGCTTTAACATTTTAGTGTGAAAACCCATAAACTTTGGAAGCAAGAAATGACCGTAAAGAAACCGCTGTAAGCCTTTACCATCGATCTGCTTCGTCCTCAAGACCACCGCTAGTTAACGGCCTCGCTGGGACAGCGTCTCAGTTTGATGCCAACAGTCTCACCTGCACAGCATGGCTGGAATCTACAGGAACCTCTCTCGTACACCCAAGGCCCCAGCAGATTTCCGAATACTCCTAAACCCGAGGTTTCATAGTTAACCCACCCTAGACGCAAGATGGCAGCCTGGCTTCAGTTCGAAGTGAAGGGCACAAAGGGCTGTTGGTTGCACAAAGCTTTACAGCTCAGGGTACCGAGACGCCTCACAGCTGAGTCTGATTGGCTTCGTACAACCTGTGGTCTGCCTGTTGGCCGTTGCCATAACGGCCAAGCAACTTTATCATCAGGTTGCACATCCAAGAAGGTGCCGGGATTCTTGTTTCATCTGCCGCTTCAGGCTACTACTCCCTGGTTCTTAGTAGGGAATGGGGGAATGGATCCCTACGATAGTCCCTTAAGGTCCCCTATAGTAGTCCCAATAACCCATTCCCCCATTCCCTACTAAGAACCAGGGAGACTAGGGATGTGTAGGTGTGCGGCTTTCTGTTTTGAACGACGTCGGATCGTGGGCTTTTTTCTCAATGGCCTCTGCCCACTTTGGGTATGGGAGTCGAAGGCTTCAGAAGAACCTAGGATGAGCGCTTGAGGGTTTGACATACCTCTAGTCTTGCTGGAACCAATTGCTGTGGCATCAAGAATTAGAATAGGCCTTTGGGGGTTCCTTATTATAATTATAGTATAATGGGCCCCAAAACCCTATTCTAATCATGAAGGCCTCTATATTAAACCCTGCTGCACCCTTTCCGGGTTAGCTTGAAGCTTCAGATGAGTCCAGATCCAGTGGGCGTGCGCTGTGCCAGCCCAAACCGCCCAAACGCTGAACGAAGCCTATACGTAGCCCCTAAACTACACACAACTTCCGAGAGAACAAGCCTACAATGCTAGGCGAGCTAACCTTCAACACTCAACCCAACTTCGAGTGTGCTTGCAACTTTTCTCCCGCTGCCGCTGCGAGAGGCCGGTGGTCATCGAGGACGGAGTAAAAGGAATATTTTCCATAGCTGCAATCATCTACTGTCCCTATGAACTTCTGCATTCGAATCGGTATACATCAACACTTCCTCAACATTAAAAATCCAAAGGCTCTACCGAAGACTACACGGGAAAACCCTAAGGCAGCTGCTCCCTTCAGGCTCGGAGGCATTGGTTCTTTTCCGGCTTCAGGTCAGCGGCTCTGAAGAAGGAAGCGCTTCCTCCCAGATCCACGGGAAACCTCTGCTGATCACTTCTGGGGGTATCTTGAGGTTCGGAATCTAGAGGTTAATGGTCGGTTTAGGTTTAGGTTTAAGGGCTCTAGTTTAGCTGGTTGCAGGCTCTAGGATTTCTTGGGCATTTTGGTTTAAGGTTTGGGTGCATTTGAGGCCTTAGGTGAATTCCTGGATGAATTGAGGCTGTGGAGCCTGAGTTGGTTCTATCATGTTCTGAGCCTTAAACCCTTTCAACTTGTCTGTCTGCCAGCGTAACACCAGACATCAAGACCCCGCAGTAGTTTTAGACAGCGTGTCGCGCACATCATAGTCACTGGTCTGTCTGCCCTGTCCGTCCTGAACCATCGCGACAAAACCTGTAAAATGTAAAACCTCGACTAAACCCGAAACCCCAAGACCCCCAAA